TTTTGGGGGGGGGGGGGGGGGAGGGGGACGACGTTGTATATAATAGTATATAAACAGTGTTTATATACAAATATGGACTAAATCAAATATTATGAGTAATATTATATATTGAGCTATGTGACGTAAATATTTTCTCTCAGTAAATTAAAGGAATAATTTAATAATCCAAATTGCCGTCTAGGGATTTGGTCAGACAGTTCATGAAGGATACATAAATATAAAGACGAATATTTTGCTAGCTAGCTTGGCTGGTTATTTAGGTTTTTTTCCTTTTAACGTGTTAGACGGCTATATTAAAAAAGAAAAAAAATCACAAGTTCTTTTTTGTTTTTTTTTTATGATCAAGGCGGAGCCAGATAAGATTAAGGTGATCAATCGAATTTATATTATTTTATTTAATTAAAATTAATTTTTTATGTATATATACTAGAGACGGATCTAAAGAAATTTGGTTTTACTTTTTCTACGTATATATAGATTTTGAATATCTTTAACACAAGACTAGAGGTTCCTTTTTTTTATAGTTTTGGGGTTCAAACTTCAAAAATTACCTTGACTCCCCTTTATTTTTTGTGTGTTTGCTTTTTCATATTTCTAACCTCTTTAATAAAAATCATGGCTCCGTCAATATTTACTACCGTGTCTCTATTTCTCAAGTTATTAACCCTTCCACTATTTAATTGTCTGTATATTTTGTTAAGCTTGTAATGTTACTTTATATTTGAGTAATATATATATACCTTCCAAAAAAATCCAAATAGAACATACATAGTTCCTACATAAAAGGAAAAAAATAATTAATTAATTGAAGGTTAAATATATCGAGTCATATATCACCAACATCAAAATAAATAGTCAGCAAACTATTTCTTTGAAAGAAGTACAGTTGTAGATTTTGTCCTTGTTGACAATTTGTACATCAACATCCTCACAATCTTGTAGAACCAGAAAGCACTTACAAATTGTAGCCCCAAAGCCATGGCCTACAAATTTCAATAACATTAGTTATTATTCCACTACCAAAAAAGAAAAAAACGAAATTCATAGCTAATTTGTCGTTAAATAGCTCATAACTGAAAGGAATTTTTGAATATTTGTATCGTTTAAATATAATGTAACAACGAATTTTTAATGTCGATAGAAGTTGTTCGTTGCTAATTCGTGTATTTTTTTTTGTAATTTTGATATCAATATATTGTTTGTAATATAATGAATATTTCATGTGCCAAATATATACATTACCTTTATGATGATTGGATTATCAGCAGAAAGAGTAACATAGCTGAGATATGGCCCTCCTATCATTCTAGCAATGGAAAAAATGACTGCAAATAAAACCTGCAAAATATCAATCTTGTCTTAGAAAAAATTAATTTTAAAGTAAGTGTCAAGCTGAGAAAAGGCGAAAGAATTTGTGAATTCAAGAAACGAAAGGCATTTTTAATACATTTAAACAATATAATAAGAATTATAGGCCAGAAAAGGAAATGTGAATTCCTACGACTCCCCCACACTCACAAGACGGATTGATCGATTAGAAAAGGATCTCTATCATGAGTTTATAAGAAGCCATCAAGCACGAATGCAACAAATTAAAAAGTATATTAGTTGTGAGGGAATATTGGAGGATTAGATATTCATGTATTACTTCAGAGGCGAATCTATAGATATAGAGAGAGTGGGTTCAAAAGAGTATATGATTATTTTTATGCATATATAGTAGAAGTCGCAAGCAATGAGTTCAATTCAACCTACAAAACCTATTTTAGGTACGCCTCCTTAAAATGATTATTATTATTCTTTTCTTATTATTCCTTCAAATACTACTAGAAATAAATATTTTTTCCATCGTAAATCATTGGAAAATTTGTGCTATAGAACGTGATCTTTTTCATTTATTTCCTACTAAGCTAGTCCACTGGAAAAATACATGCTAGAAAACAGATTCTCACTGAAATAGTGAAAAACTTCCTAATTTTTTCATAAGTAAACATTACTATTTTTTATCCACCGATTCAATTAAAATATCTGTTAAAATAGATAATGAACATTTTTCAGAGGAAAAATGACGATTTTTTATAATAGTTAAATGGAAATGCATATGAATTAAAGTTTGAGAAACTAACATCAGCAGCAAAGTTAAGATCAGTGTCTCTATATCCAAGTTCTTTGAGAAGCTCCCTTAGGTGAAGAAATGGACTTGAAATTTCTGTTATCCACAATGCAGCAACCATTTCTGAACCACACTGCAACAAGTGACTAAACATTACCAACATGGGTTGTGGTGCATTGGTGGGAGTGCTTCACCCTTAACCAGAGGTCTCGGGTTCGAGTCTTGGGTATGGAGAAAATTCTGTTGGGAGCGCCACCCCCGAATGGGCCCTGCAGAGCGCGATCCGGATTTAGTCGGAGCTTCAATGTGGGCTCCGAACATTGGGTGGGAAACCAAAAAAAAAAAAAAACTAAACATTTGGTAACTAATTAAAAGACAAATTATAGCTCGTATGGTTAAACTTTTTTAATATGCTTACTTTGAAAAGTGTTTTTTGTAATCATGCTTTTTGATTTTTGATATTTTTAGATTAGCAGTTTGTATTTAGCTAATCAATTTGAGAAAACAATTTTGCTTATAACACGACCGCATCAAAAGGTGTGATCTAGTGGTCGATGAAGTGAGTTGAACATCGTGAGGTCTCAGGTTCAAATTCCACTAGAACAAAACACTGGTTATTTCTTCACATATGTTTTAGTCTTGGGGGGTAAAATTTACCTGGTACTTGTTGTTGGTTGGAGGTGAATGGTATCTCGTGAAATTAATCAAGGTGTATAAACTCTATAGCTTCTAAAAAACAACTTTTTTATTAGTTTCCTATCTGGTGTCATGTCCAAGTGCAATTGAAACTTCGATTAGATTTGAATCGTGCACTGCAAAACCCATTTCAGGGGTGATGCTCCCAACAAAATTTTTTGCACACCCAAAGCTCAATCCTGATATCTCTGATTAATTTTTTCTACTACTCAAAAAACACTTATTTTTTCTTTAAAAAGGTATCCAAACATATCAACTTTCTAAAATAAGTATTTTTGGGAAAAACATACTTTTGGCCAAACAAACTATAAAACTCATTAAAGAAGAAAAGTGGATTTGTAATTAGGAGAAGAAATATTTACCAATCTATAAGCAAAGCCAGCTCCAATTCCAACAACACACACCAAATGATGAACCAAGTTATCAATCCTCACTTGTTTGTCAAATAGGCAACAACCAAAATCATAAATAAGATAGGCTGCTGTCACTGCAAGTGCCTTCCTCTGTTTGATTTTTATTTTTACCAAAAATAATCATTATTAGATCTTAACTTCAAAATAGCAAAATAAAAATAAAAAAGAATTTAAGTTATATACACCGTCACGATAAGACACTTTTCACAATATTGAGTAATATGTACATATTGTAGTAGGTGACTGGTTTTATTCTTTCAAAATTAGAAATTCACATTTTAAGAAAGCTTATGAGTGACCTGATAACAGATAGTAATATTTACATATTATAGCATGTAATTGATTATATTTTCTTAAAATTACAAATTTCACATTTTGAGAATGTTTACCTATATTGACATGATACTACATGGTGTGTACAACTTAATTTCTTAATATATAAATAGATCGACTTACCACCTCTAGTTTATTATTAGTACAACTCAACAACTCTAGATTAAAGACAGATAAACACTCATGACATAATAACCCCTTCGCTTTATTTATGATAAAAAGGAAAGATAATATCTTCGAATATTTTGTTAGATACCGACTTATAATAAGAGACTAAAGTTCAAATTTCAAATTTCAGTAGTCACTAAAAATATAAGGTGTCCAAAAATAGTAGAGATAGTAGATGTCTGATAAATAATCGAAATGCACGCAAATCGAGATTAAAAGATACCTGTTTGGGAGAAGATGTGGAAGCCACAGGACAAACAGGACAGCTCCAATCTTGAACAGATAGAGAAGCCAAAGTCACAGCTAAAGATGCATGAATTGTAGAAACTAAACGATTGCAAAAATCAAATGAACGTTTAGGAAAAGCCTTTCTAATTAATAAAAAAAGTGTAGACCATAAAATTATTCCAAATAAAACAGTAATTATCATTGAATCTTCTTCCATTTAGAAAGAACTTTGTTTATTTTTTCTACTTCAAAAAAAAAAGAATATATTACTTTTTTTGTAGAAAAATACCAATTATTATTCAAAGAAGTTGAGGAGCTAACAATATTAAAGATGCATTAATGTTTTTTTCAAGTTGCAAAAGTAAAGGTAGTTGGGGAAGTTCACAAAGTAGTTGGAGTTCATTATATCACAAAGTTAGCATGATGTTGCAATGCCAATTTCCCACGTAAAAGCACAAATTCGCGACAGATAAATTTTATAGCTAAATAGTGTATAATTTGTTATAGTGGGATCATCAACTTTTTTTTTTAGTTTCGAGCAATTTAGTGACGAATTATAGATGAAATTCATAGCTAATTCCAAAATTTCTTAGTGTATAGAGCTATAAGATTAAGTATGAATTCAGCTGAATGCCTGAATTCATATCTTAATCCAAATCCGGTATTTGTACTAAGAAATCTACTAAATATGTACAAAATTTAAATGCATAATTTCTAACACCTAATGTCATTATTTGGACTAAGAAATTCAATAAATATATACAAAATTTATATTTAGAATATAGCAAAAGTAATTTTCACTTGATACAACTTATGTCTGATAAGTTTAATCGAATTCAGTAACTTTAGTTCAAGTCCTGTATTAGACCAAAAAAATTCACTAGATTTGAATTGAACTTTCCAGAAACGATTGCTAGTGTAAAAAGATGTAACAATATCATGTCACTTTAAGGCAATTAAATGTTATTGATTGTGAAAAAAACTCATTGACATTGTATGTGGATATAATTAAGATAGATGCTTTCAACATAATAATTGACGACCAAACTTATAGGCAGATTTTATTTAGATACTTAAGGTTTGTTTCATGTGATTTTTTGAGTATATGATAAAATGTTTCTATTAGATATTTTTAATTTAAATTTTGAATTTTTTTTTGTGCGTAATCTCAAATATTACATAAATGTTACTACTTAAAACAATGTTTCCGAATAACAAATGGTTAAAAATAAGTGCATGTTCAATGTTATTAGGAGTAACAAAATCAACTCATAAAATCATGACCCATCCAACTCGTTTAGGTGAATTAATAACCCGCTCATTTTATTAATTGTGTTCATTTTGACCTATTTAGTTCAGTATGTAGTCAAATTAACCCATAAAAACTTTGTATAAGTATTTTTATTTTTTCATTTGATATATTGTATATACTCATAATATAAGGAAAAATGTTTTATTAGGAACTCAAACAATTCTTATTTTATTTTTTATAAAAAAGCTTGTGAATTTAAAACTTAGTAAGAATTCAGTATGTTGGGATTATGATCCAATTTTCAACTTATTTGAGCATAACCAATCCGTTTCAGTTTATATAATATTTAAGTAATCAATGGTTTAATTCAAACAATTTTAACATTATTAAATTCAATCCAACCCGCTCATCTGATTGTCATCATAAGTTCTTCTTCTTGTATCTTCTCCTATAACTCATTGTCTAAAGCTAGAAAAGTACCAAAAATATGCTTTGTTCTTTATGGCATGGATAGAGAGAGTCACCAATAATTGATATTTGGACATGTACAATTAAGATAAAATTATTTCCATTTGTCACACTTCCACTTGTTATGTTTTTAGTCGTCTAATTATAGTGGAAGGACCATACTTTGAGTCTAAAAGTTGCATACTGAATATGAATTAAAACATCAACATCTTAATAGTCTGATAAAATTTGTAGCAAGTACTCTTTTATCTTTAACGGGAGGAGGGGTGACGAATTGATAATAGGCCAAAAAAGGGCAGAAAATTTCTAAAGAAGGGTAAAAGGAAAAGAAAAAAAGAAGAAATCATATTTGATAAAAACGATTTTTTTAATTAAAATTGATTATACTATATGAAGTTGAATTAGTTGAATTGTAATATCGATACGGATCACTCGATGAGGGTAAAAGTCTAATCCAATTGGTTGTTTGTTTTTTTTCTAAGATTTCAAGGGTATTAATCTATGGACGGCAGCTCCTTAATTGATTTTTGTGTCAATGTCCATCTCAATGGATATGTTTGATGTAATTGGTGAGTAATTGTTTTATTTACATGTTAAAATGGTTATTTTTAGTCAAATCAAAATGAGTTAAATTTTTAACATCACATATAATTGTTAGTTTCATACTTGAACTATCATTAAATGTTTATCTTCTTTTTTTAAAGCAAATTTATACCACTATACAGTTGTCTAGTGGCTTATTATTAATAATAAACATAAAAAAAAATCTTAATAGGAATAAGTACAAGCAAGGGAGGCTAGGCCTTACCTTACCAATCCTAATGAGATACCTATCATCTACTAATTAACAACCATGAAGAAAATACGAGCTAGAGAGAACTAGATATTCTATGATCATCACAAAGTTTATAATACACTCTATGATGATATTACAAGTGAGGATTCGTAAGTAATAAAAAATCATAAAAGCCAAGGAGAAAGTTGAGTTATCAACCTCAAACTTCCTTTTACAAATGTATGAACTAAAAAAGATAGATGACCTTCCAAAGGAACTTGAAGTATGTTTCTCTTGTCTTCTTCTTCAAATCTGTCCAATAACACTTGATAGTTCATCACTTCTTGGCTTTATTGGATCTTGTTGAAGTTGTTGACACTATCATATGATTCTGTTTCGCCAGTCGCATCGGTAGGTGCCTTGGAACAAACTCCTCAGTCACTTTACCATCCCAACTATGCTTTCTTCCATGCTTCGTTTTGTTGTTGCATTGTTTCCTAGGAGAAATATCAGCATTCCTAGCTGCATTTGCAAAACAATAATCCAGCATTTCCTCTTCATCTTCTTCACCTTCTTCAAGATGTCCTCATCATCTAAGTTAGCAAATTTATTTGGGGACAAATTAAAGTACAACTACCACCAACTTGTAGTTGTTTGTTAGTGTTAATAGGTGTAAGAGAAGCCAATTTTTCAATATTAGAACTCACCAAATGATCACTTAAGATTGCCGCAACATTTGTTGATGATGACAAACTGTTGGAATGTATGCGTCCACGACTATCGATGGGACCAGGTCCTCAACACAGTTACACTAACAGACAGTAAAATAAATACTGAAAGTAAAGATTGCACAAGTGTTTTACGTGGAAACCTCCTTGCTCAAGGGAGTAAAACCACGACCTGGCCTGCCAGGACTTTTCAAACTTCTTTCACTAATCTTTTCCAAGCAAAAGTAAAAGCAAGTTTACAAACCGAGATTAGCCTACTAATCCCAACTCTAAGCAATGCCTCTTATTACTTAGATGAGCCAGAACAGATACAACACTGCCCACTAAGCTATCAC